GAAGGGGGAGGGGGAGGAAGGGATGATCCTCCCTTCCTTTTCCATTTGCCGTTTGCCTTTTAAATTAACTCTTTTTGCCGATTTTCGGGAACTGATGAATACTCGGGTTTTGCCGGGTCCCGTAGAAATCAGCAGAAATTGCAGTAAATAAGAACGTAAGTGACCTGACAAAGAGCGCCAGGGATGTTCTCTTTGGTGTGGGAATTGCACACACGAGTAGGCAGCACAGTCACAGCTCACCGCCGCCACAGCCCGCGTACACCCGTGTGCTGTGAGGCTTCCCGGGTCTTTGAAGCAATGACCACCCCAGTATTTGTGGCTGCAGTATCAATCTTTGACCTGGAGCGTTTTATCTTCCATTAGTAAGCCTTTCTCTGTGCTGCACTGGTTAAGTTAGGGTCAAATCTGGTTCAATACCTTCTTGGCATGCTCAGAGGGCTGGGTTTAAACAGTGGCTGAGACGAAGATGAGGCTGCCTTCCTCAGAGAGCTCGTCCCCACGCGCCGCTGCTGCCGTGGGTCATGGCACGAGGTGCTTTTCCCTGGTCAGGTTTAGCAGATCTGGGGGCTGCCTGTGCCGGGCAGGTTGTGCATGGCACCGGCATGGCAGTGGAGCAGCTCCGGGGGCTGGCAGTCACGCGTTGCCTTTTGTTGACTCTAAAAACACGGCTGGTTCTGGTGGGAAGCTGAGCGTGGCTGTGTGCTGAGGAGGTTGCACAGCACACAGCCTCAGTTCCTGCTCCATGGAAGGAAGTCCCATCAGGATAGTAGGCTGTGGCGTGAAAGGACATGTTTTAAAATAAAAGGACTCAAAGAGAGAAAATAAACCGTCCTGAGACTCGGAGCTTGGAATATTAAACGTGAGGCACAGCATGTAAATGATGGGAGAGAGACTTGCAAGGCAGTCCTCGAGAAACTGAGCCTGGCTGTAAAATAAGCAGGTTACCGATAGTCTTGCATATATTTACGAGGTTATAAGAGTAGCCTCCCCCCCTGCCCTGCTCCAGCCTTTGCTATGGGAGGTTGTTCTCCAGGAAGGAGCGCGCTGGTGAAGAAACATTGTCTAGCAATTACAGCCTTGCAGTCCGGAGGGCTTGATTGGGTTCCTGGATCTGCCAGCGACTCCCTGTGTTCTTGGACCAGCCAGGCTGTCAGTACCCGGAGTTTCCAGCTCTATAATAGGAAGAATAGTTTTCTTACTCAGAGCAGAGTTGGGAGGCTCAGTGGACGCGTGCAGGCGTGGTGCTCGAAGATCGTGAATGGAAAGTGGGACAGAAATGTGGAGTGTGAGCCCTACACATGTGAGTGTCTGCCTCTGCTGGGTAGAAAATATTGGCTGCAAGTGTCTGCAGAGCAGCTGTGAATGTTGGACTGTAGATAAGGAGCGGAGCGAGGATTTTGTTTTCCAAATCCTACGCGGTGCTGGGAGCCCTGCTCCGATGTTTGGGTGTGCCCTGTGAGTGCAGCAGCGAGATCCGACTTCCCTTTGCAGAGAGGAGCTGCACGCACACTGCCTGACCCTTGATCGCTCAGTCCCTTGAACACTGGAAACAAAGCGATGGGACTTTACTGCGGGGTGAGGAGATCTCTCCAGAGAGCTGGGAAAGGCAGGAAGGAGGAGGGCGGCAGCAACAGTGCTAGCTTTCTGGGTTTGGCTCTGGGCTGGCTGCTTGGGGCGCCACTGGCACTTCCATCTGTGCCACGAGTGGTGTGGAACTGGGGAAAAGGCGGCAGGTCCTAAGACAGGCACTTCTAATGGATTGCATTCTGTTTTCTAATGAAAGTTTCATTTGAAGTTTGTTTACAGGAAAGAAGAAATTAGCAGAGAGAATTCTCCTGAGAACCCAGAGAGGAAAAAGAATGAGCTGCCTGACTTGCAAGCCAAAAGAGGGTGGAAGGGTAGATTAGATTTACCGTATTGCTCCGAGTCGTGGCTGTTGCTGCTGTTGAGAAGCGGTTCCTTGTTTGGCTGGGTGGGGAGCCCGCTTTGAGGCTCAGCCTTCAGCCAGATTACTGGCATTCAGGGAGGTTCAGAGCTCCCACCCAGCCAGAAATTTTGATCCTGCTCTGGTGTCCTGTGGTTTGAGGCTGGATGTGTACTGTGCTGTGCTGTGCTGCTGTCCCCCCGCTCCAGCCCACTGACACAGGGCTGCTCCTGGGCTGTGGCTGGGCAGCCAGTGCTCTGGGCGCTGCTGCCAGGGCCTCCCTCCCTGGGATTGTCCCTGGTATGTGAGGAGGCAGTGCCAGCAGTTGGCAGGCAGCACTAGGAGGTCATAATGCTCAGCCTTTGGTCTCTGAGGGGTGTCCTAAGGAGGGATCTTGCTGGTGGCCTCTGGTGTCCCAACGAGCAGCGTGGGATGCAGCAGAGGGGCAGTGGAGGATGCCAGAGCTGGGGTGACAGGGGAGGACACAGCCACACTCAAGGTCGAGGCCTTTCTCTTTCTCAGGGAGGAGGCACAAAGGTGTAAGCAGCTCCTGAGGCACCACGGTGTGGGCAGAGCAGGGGCTCTGCTCCAAGGCAGCAGGCAGCGGACGCTGTTGACAGTTCTGCCGGCTTTGGTCATTTCCTGCTGCCATGAAGGATTCACCTGCTGCCACCTGTATTCCCTTGGGATGGGCTGTGTCGTGGGAGCTGTGTGATACCGGGAAGTCTGTCCTGTTGGTGTTTTGGCCAAGGGTATTAGTGCTGGAAAGCAGAAAGCTCTGGTGGAAAGCAGGGGGTGACTTTCTGTTGGTGGCTGGATCCTGGACTAGTGAATGTGTGACAGCCTTGTTTAACTTGAGTCATTTATAGCTTATCAGTTTCTGGTTTGATAGCCAGAGTATTTCTAATAATAGGCGAATGTTATTGAGCCTTGAGAGAATTGTACACATTTATAAAGCACTTTACATCACATGTGCATGCGAGGCATCCTTCGTGTCACTGCTTTTCCCTCTGTGTGAGTGCACAGAGAGTGTGATGCTTCCCAGGCTGTGTTTTGGGTGCTGTGGCTGGGTGTCCTCTGCAGCTGAGCATGAACCACCCGAAAACATCGTGGGTCACTCCCAGGGCTCCTCCTCCTCACCGGACAGGTGAGAGACTGTGGGCAGCAAGGACCTTGGCATTTGCATTTGTCTCTTAAGCCTGACACTAATCTTGAGTAAGCCTTGTGAAGAAGGCCAGATATTAGGGTGGCTACCTCCCTGCAAATGCTTACAATAAAGAGACTATTTATAGTTTGCAACAGGGAGACCTTTCCAGTTCTGTTCCTGTACGTACAAGATGGAGTTTCTGGAGAGGTAGGGTTGCTTTGTGGCTGGTGTGGCAGTGCAGCTGTGCTGAGCCGGGGATGCCATGCCTGTCCCTGCCTCCTGCCCTCCTGCTCAGCCTCACCTGGGCACAGGGGGCTGCACGGGGGCACTGGCAGGTCTGGGGTCAGGGTGTCCCCGTGGCAGGCATGCTTGGGGCTGCTGAGCTCTGTCCATCCGTCCGTCAGTCCGTCCCTTGGTGCGTGCAGGGTTTCAAAAGCTGTAAATTCCAGGAAACTCCCCGGGAGGCACATGGAGGGAGCGGGCTGGGGGCGGCGCGAGCCCTGAGCCAGCAGATGTGTCTGCAGGGACAAGGAGCTGGGAGGAAAAGCACAAACCTGTCTCTAAAGACATTTGTTTGTTCACAATAAAAACTATCAGCCAGCAGCGGCCAGACAGGGCTGTTTTTATGAGGCACAGGCGTAGGTTGGAGGGGTGCTGCCAGTTGCTGCTTACACAGAAGGGGAGCGGGGATTGTATTTTATCTCAGGACCAGGGGGAGGGAAAAAAAAATAAGAGCAGAGAGTTTACAAGCCTTTGAAATGTTTCAATCAAAGGAAAGCGGAGTTGAAAGCGGTTCTGGAAACATTTTTGGTGTTCCCCTGCACCCCAGGGCTCTGGATGTGGGCTGTGCCCCTGGCTTTGGGAGGGGAGCAGGGAGAGGAAGGGAGATAAAGGGATCACCAGCAGGACCATGTCCATACGGGAAAATGTATCTGCTTCCTCCCAAGCTGTGTGTTGGGAGAGTTCAGCCCGGGGAGGTCCCGCAGCCCCTCCTCTCATTCAGGATCTCAGTGCTGCCTTTATGATGATGGTTTTGAAATCCTGTGGCTGACCTTTCCGGCGCTGGAAGCGATCCAAGGGCTGTGTCTTGAAGTACTGTAAAGGTTAGTGAGAAGGGAGAGAGGGAGAGAGAAAATGTCCTTTCAGCTGCAGGAGTGGGAGAGAGGAATGTCGTCTATGCCCTTGCTGGGAAGCAGGAGTCTGGCTGGGGTCCCCCAGCCTCAGCTGGGGTGTCCTTGCCTCATGGGGGACTTCACTCCTCCAGCCCCTTCCCAAGGTGTGTGCTGTCATTTTTGATGAGGGTACAGGGGCAATACCCTTCCACAGAGGGCTGGAGGAGCAGCTCCTTGGTGCTGGGTTCCGGGAGCCTCCTCTGCAGCATCAGGCAGTGCAGGTCTATAGGGATCCATACCTGTGTCCAGGTCTGCCACAGCATCCTCTCTTGCTGCTGCCAGTCCCCCGGTGATTCCTCTTGCAGCAGATTATTTGATCTCAAAAAAGTCCAAGATGTTTTATGGAGCCATTTCTCGCCCATCCTCAGCTCCCCCACGCCACTGCCTCACCGGGAGCACGCTAGGGTGGATGGAGATTAAAGGGTAAACTCCAGGGCTCAGCCATCCGCTCCTACAGGATGTGAGCTCTTTCTAATTGTCCTCAATTAGAGACAGTGCCATTGCTCAGGCAAGTCTTCAGGCAGGAAGCAGAGCCCTGGTCCCTGCTGGGGCAGCCACCTCACCCTGCACAGGGAAGGGCCACTCGCTGTGGTCTTGGGGCCAGCAAGCCTTCTCAGGGGACAGGAGCTGCCCAAGGAATTGTTTTTAGGAAGGAGTGTGCTGAGGAGATGTTAAAGCCAGAGAAAGGAGGAAAGGAAATAGCTCAATGAGTTAACCCTTTCCTGCTTGTCTCCAGGATGAGACGTCGGTGAGCAGCGAGGACTTTGATATGAACGACTCCACATGGATCTCAGCTGACCAGCACCTGAACTCCAGCCTGAGCCCCAGCCAGGACGAGAGCATGCGCAGCCCGCAGAACCTGCACGGCCACGAGGACGGTGAGTGCCCCGGCGGGCGGGAAGCACTCTGTGCCTCTGCCACAGGATGTTTTTGTGGCTTATTAAACATTAACCAGTCCTTTCTGATCAAGTGTCCCACCTGTGGGATGGATTTCATATCAGCTCAGGCTTTGAAGCAGCTCCCAGTCCTTCCCATTTAGCCTCTGGGTTCCTGCTCAGCCAGGGCTCTGTCCAGCTCAGAGCTGATGGTCCTGTGCCCAGACCTGTCTCCCAGCTCCTCCAGAAAGAAATCGTCAAATCCCCTCCTAAGGCATCGGGTTTTAGTTCCCCAAGTCCTCTCACCAGGTGATGAGGAAAACCCTTTTAGTTCTGAATGCACAGAGGATGCCAAGGCTTTGCAGCACAAGTCACAGCTTTCTGTGCTTGAAAAGTTGCATCTTCAACAGGTGTTGGATCCCCCAGGCAAGAAGTTGTGAATAATCTGCAACACCTAATAGCAGTGGTTCGAGGGGTGATTTGTGGGTGTCTCCTCCCTCAGGGCAGGCGGTTGGAAGGGCTGAAGGCAGCACACATGGGCTGGGTGGGAGGAAGAGTTTGGTGAAGAGAGGTGGTGTGTTGCATCTGTGAAACATGCAGGTTGAAAATAAAAGAGCAAGTAAATAAGTGGTAGAAGTACAAGTTCAGGTCAGAGTTCGTCTCTGTGATGCTTGGGAGGATTCGGTGGTTGGACTGTTACCGGCTTTTGCTCTGGAGGTTGAATCCCTCATTGTCCCCAGCCTGGCTGCTGCTGGGGGAGCGGGAAGGGAGCAGAGGAATTGAGGGACAACCCAGGCTGGGTCAGTGCTGCTTAAAGAAAGGGGACTGGAAAACCACCCCAGAGGAAAGAAAGGGCTTTTGTGCTGGCAAATCTCCATGGGGTGGCTTTTAGCTGGTTGTGTGGCCAGTGGCAGGGACAGCAGGGATGGTAGTGACAGCAGGGACGCTGCTCTCTTCACTCCAGTGCATTGTGGCACTTCAGTTTCCATTGCAAATCTGCTGTTTTGGGAAACTGCTGGTTTTCTCTAAGCAGCCCCAGTGCTGGAGGCAGGCAGGCTTGGTGAGGATGTGAAACCTGCCTGCGCGGCACCACGTCCCGGCCGTGGGATGGGCAGGGGCACTTCTGCTTGCCCGGGGGCCCCAGTGGGGCTGTGCCACGACAGGAGGAAGGGCATTTTGGTGGTGACACATCAAAAGCTCCTGGCTCTTTGGGGCCAGGCTGCACCCTCTGCCCCGACGACCCCGGTCTCTCATCCCCACGGCCTGGCCGGGTGTCTCCGTACCCCCTGAACTTTGCCATTCTCCCACCGGGACATTTTGGGCTTGTGACTTACCCCCTCACCACTGAATTCCCAAGTCTCATTTACAATCTGGAATGACACAGTTTTGATCCCTTTGCTGAACACTGTAATTCAACAGGACAGTAATTTAATAAGGGACTCACGTATTTAGGCAAATCAAGATGTTCTAGCTAAAGCTAAATCCTTCCTCTCTCTCTCTGCCCTCTTAGGAATTGCTTCCAATTTTTCATGCCCTGTGGTTTTCCTTCAGAAGCAGGTGTCCTCTTTGGGGCTTTTCTTGGCTCCTTTAATTTCTTTTGTAAGAGTCAGTGATGAGCAATAAAGCACAAATAGTCCCTTTCTGTGAGGAATACAAGTGTCCCAGGCTGTGCCCGGCGTTGGCAGAGGCTGAACCAGGTAGACTTTGGTGGATCAGAAGTGATGGAGTTGAAAAGTAAGCAAGCCTAGCCCAGGGTTATGAATGAGACCCATCCAGAAAAAGATGGAGATTGGGATTTTCGTCAGGCTGCCGTACTTCAGGGGCATTTTATGGACTGAGAGGAGGTTTTTGTACCTGTGGTGAATGTCTGTGGTCTGTATTGGAGCTCTAAATACAGGCTAATGCCACCTCATGTCAGTCCCTCTGCCAAACCAATGCTCCCACTCAGGACTGAAGCACGCATGAGACTGGGAAGAGAAGAGGGACAGTGGAGCTGGAACAACCCAGGAGGGCAGTGGGTAGTTAGAGGAGAGGAGCATGGAGCAGAGAAGGAGTATGGAGCAGAGTAGCATGTCGTGAGAGGAAAAGCAAATTGCTGGTGTGAGGAAGGGAATGTGCATGAATCAAAGTGTCGACCACTCTTCAGTTTCCTCTTCTCTTGACCTATGAAAGCTCTTTTTATTTTGGAAGCTAATGTGTTTTCTGAGTTCACACAAGCTTAGTAAGGCTGTGCAAAAAATGTGAGTAACCAGCCCACATGAGCTTGCGTGCTCCTCGGAGCCCAGCTGGCCAAGGTGCCTGTGCAGGGTGCTCACACTGGGGCAGCCCAAGTACTCCCAAGCTGGAAGTTTGTCCACATCTCCTGTGCTCAGCTGTCCACTGTGCTGTGCAGCAGCCCTGCAGAGCTCCAGCTGGTGCCACAGTGAGCCCCACACGTCCCCTGCAGCCAGGCTGGGCTCAGCTCCGGGTGTCCTGGCGCTGCAGAGGGGTCTGGTTGCCCACCACGTCCTTCAGTTGGAAGCTCGTTCAGGACTGGGTACTCTCCTCCCTCAGGAAAACCTTCTGAGTTACTAAATTGCTCCTGCCTGCTGCTGTCTGATGGGTGGGATGCTTGGAGTGTGTCTTCTGTGAAAGGCTTCCTAAAGTATAAAGTTTTAATGAACAGTTGCCTGGTAGGAGAGCAGTATCGTCTGACACGCTTGTGAAAAAAGTCTTTTTTAAAGGACCTAAGCACAAGCTCCAGGTCCTTCTGAGGCCTGGGAGTAGCAAGTGCTCTCCTATGATGTAGAGCAGAGTGGTATGAAATCCAGAGAAGTGGGAGAGCAGGAAATTGTCCTCCCATGCTTTGACACACAGGTACCTGCTAAATCTTCAGAGACCTAAAAGCAGCTGGAGCAAAAGCCAGCACCTTCTTTGCTCTCGGTGCCCAGAAGCCTTGGCCCAGTACAGCCGTGCTGCAACCAGTGTCAGCCCCAGAACTGTAGGGTGAGCAAATTACACCTGAAGACTTTGGGGGGTTGGGGGCAGAACAGGGACTGTCAGGAGAGCTTTGGCAGCAGAACCGGGGTTCCTGCTGGGTCGGTGGGCACGTGGTGGGACGTAGGACACACCAGCTGGCTCTGAGCAGCACACACTCGCTCCTTCCATTTTCCTTTGTTACTCATCCTGCGGGCCCCAGCACGGAAAACGTGAAGCTCCCAGCAACATCCCTTCCCAGTCGGATGTTGCTCACAGCGTACGTGCCCACAGGAAGCCGGCGGCTGCCCAAAGCGACAGCAAGATCAACACGAACTCTGCTGCTGGAGCGGAGCTATTGTGCCGGACATCCTGGAGGGACACATCTGTGGAAGCCAGCACACACTGGGAGCAAAGGGACCCTGAATGCTGCGCCGTCCCACTGTCGGTGCCTGTCACCATCCCCACTCCCAGTGCTTGGCCCTGTGTCGATGCAGCAGTTCAAGCTGAACTCTGTCCATCTCCAAAGCCTGCTTCCACAGGCAAGCACTGCACTACAAATCTCCCAGTTTGGTCTGGTGTGTGGGCTGAGCGGGGTATCCCCCCACAGGGGTGCTGGGGTATCCTGCCATGGTGCTGCTGTGACTTGCTGGCAAGGGCAGTGCCCTTGAAAGTAAAGCAGGCGACAGACCCTAAATCCCAGTGGCAAAGTGCTTGGACTCATGTAGAAGATTCTCTGTCTTGCCCTCTAATAGGATGCATCTTGCCTTGTTCCTGGCCATACATCCTGCTCCATCGCCAGGAGCAGCACTCGGCCCACAGACAGGGCTTGCTGCTCCCCAGCCCATCCTGCCTCATGCTTCTGAAGAGTAGGGAAAGCTCCTGGGTGTAAGATGTTCTTTCCCTATGTGGGGGACATGGAATTGCTTCCTGGCACCATGATGGACAGATCCCCTTTGGCTCAGATCCCTAAGTGCAGTCCTCACTTGACTGGCAGCATCCCCACTGAGCCAGTTCTGCCCGGAACAGCAGTGGCTAATCCAGACCTTGGAGAAAGGACTTTCTTAACCTACTTAACTGTGAAGGCACACGCTTCTCGGGGGCATCCCTTGAGGCAGCTGGTTGGGAAGGCTTCTGGGTGTTGGGGGCATCCCTCAGGAGTGCTCCAAGGAGGGACCTCAAGGACATGCAGGCAAGCATTATTTCAGGACACTGTCCCAGGGACAGGTAGGGCCTGTCCCTCCTTTGGACACCCTGCCCTGGGATGGCAGGGGCAGCATCAAGTCATCCCCAGCAAGCAAAGCAGTGTCTCTCCTGGTATGGCACGTGTCTCCTGCAGCTCTGGGTCGCATCGGTGTTATTGATGAGATGCCCACGGTGTGCTGCACATCACCAGCTTCCCTGAGCTGCTGGCCTAGCAGAGCACTTTCCAAGGAGGACCAGCCTCTTGCCAAGTGCTGACCAAAAGCCAGGCTCTGTCCCCAGGGCAGCCATGATGTCCTGCTCCACAGCTGCACCTCTGACGGCTGTCACCCGGCCATGGGGCGATGGCTGTGCCCTAACAAGGTCACTCATTGCAGTGGCATTGGGTCTTGTGCAGCTCCCAGTTCCCCTCTGCTGCTGGGGCTTTCCTCAGCCAGCCCATCCCTGCTCCAGGTGAACACAAACACCGTTTGCCAGCCACAGGGGAAGCCCAGCAGACCACAGGCAGCCATCTGGCAGGCAGACCACAGGAACCGGCCTGCAAGCCCCAAAATACTTGTTTAGCCCAGATTGCAAAACTCTCACTGTTTTCAGGGTTTCTTGCACCACTGTTGGGTTTTGTCCACCCGAAGCCCAAGCTCAGAGCCTAAACAAGACTAGGACCAGCAGCCAGGTTTTACTACAACTGAATCTTATTTTCCTTAGGGATCTATTTCCTCTTCCCCAAGGTGTCCCTACACCATGCTGTCCCTGCAGCAGGAGTCAGCAAGCATGTCCCTGCCTCGCCTGAGTGGTTTGGGCTGGTGACTCTGTTCCCGTCACATCTTCCAGGGGCATCTGCTCCT